AAATGTTGTAATATCAACACTCCCTCACCTGCCAGAATGAACTTCTGGAGAAGAGAAAAGGAGCACCTGGTGTGGTATGGGAATCTTACCCCCGGATTAGTTGTGGCCGAATATGTATATAAAATTTACGCACGTGGGTGTTGTGGAAGGACAAAAACAAAAGAATTAAATTTGACCAACTTAATCTGGGTTAATATAAAAGAGATATCTATTATATACCAATATGACCGCTTAAATTAAAGATATTAAGAGGTCATGCCTCAAATGCTCCCCTTTCCATCGTAGCTGCAGGTCCTAAGTAAGGCGGAAGAAATGAAATAACTAAATCGTAAAGGTACAAAATTGTTTTATTAATACAAAGTGGCACATTTGAACTTGAAAAGTGCCTGTCAGGTTAGACTGCGTATTTATAAAAATCTTCTAGGTTTAGAGTATAATAGGCTTTTACCTCATTCTAAAACACACATATTTCTGGCTTATGTGGACGGCTTAAATGATGATAGGTACTCTTTTGAGCTCCAAAACCCTGGCTCATGAATTTCCATGAAGATACGAATGTTTTTTGTTTTTCAAAGGAGGACCCCCCCCCCCACCCCCTAACCTTGAATATTAAAAAACTATTTTAACTTTATCCCTCTTTATGCCTGCTAATGATGAAAGTACTGTAATTTATTTTAAATGGGTTTATTTATCTTACTTATCCATAATGGGGAAACAAACTTGACAATCGCTCAGCTCAAGGAATGTTTAACTGAAGGAAATTTTTTAATTGGATGAAATATATTTAAAATTAAACTATTTTAAGTAAGTAGTAGGATATAAGGTTAGAGAGATATGTTCTGAGAAATATAGGTTAGGGTTTAGATTGGTTTTTAATAAAAATTTAATCCTTTGACAGGTCATGTGATTATAAGCAGACGAATAAAATTTATAATAAATCCACTGTTGCAATGGTAATTTTTTTGAGTTGGAACATAATCAAAAAAATTATCTCCAGATCACATGGTTAATAATTTATGCAAAAAAATATATTAACGGTTCAAAAAATAAATCTAAAAAAAAATTCTACCCCAAGATTTGAACCATGATTTTGAAAAGGGGAAAGACCACACATATATAAAAAAAAATATAAACAAAATTTGTATATTATATAATATATCGATTTTGCCAATGGCAGAGTCAAAATATATTTATTGTTATTAAAATTGAATAAACCACCGTTAATATATATTTTTTTAAAAGAGAATAAAAAAAATTGGAAATATTTATTTTATATTTTACCAAGAAAAAAGTATGAATAATTATAAGAAATAATAAAATAAGTAATATAAAAATAATGAGATTAAATAAGCATAAATAAAAGAAAGAAGGAAAGATAGAATTATTCAAATAATATAATGATGCAAAAATAAATATAAAAAAAAATATAGGTAATATATAATAAATTGGACCTTCGTTAACTTGGGGATATAGTTGTTAAACGAGATTTGAGCCGATTTTTTAAAATGGCTAATTGACTATAAGTCTCGAGATCGCTAATGGAAGTACAAAAACTTTGTGCCATCCATGACCAAAATCTTCAGGCTGGTTAATATTATACTAGATAAAATAATGAGTTAGCAGTATTTAAAAACCGGCTCAAATGAGCCGTTTATCATCACTACTTGAGCAAGTAAGATTCGATATAATAAAGTAAATAAAATAGAATAGGCTAAAGAATATTTATGCAGTTATATAACCAACTTATACTTTCTTAAGGTATAAGACCATATTATAAAAGAAAGTTTGAGAATTAGAAGTTTTAATTGGGACCAGTTTAAATTTTTTTGGGTAAATTTTAGCTATGATAAATTTTCTTGATCATTTTAGGATAGAATTGGATTATTCCATGTAAAATCGACGAATATTCCGATTTAATTAGAAAATCAAATGGGTTATAGATCAAAAACTCACTAACTTTTATATTATCCGAGATATTTAAAGGATTAAATGTGAAAAATGTCATTTCTAACTTCTTCAGATTTTAAATAATTAGTTATTAAAAACTAATCAATTTTAATAATTTGATAGATATGGTTAAGTAAAAGATTGACAATTAAAGGGAAAAGCGAAACTTTTGGCTAAACATGCTCATCTTATTTCCAGTTTAGAATTAAATTTTTATAATGATTAGGATTTCCACTTTTTTCAATTGATTATTAACTGATTACCTAATGTTTCCAACAAGCATTTACAAAAATTAATGCAAATAATATAGCTAAAAAGTATAGATGTGTTTTAATTAAGTAGTGTTGTTTAAAGGCCTGATTTTTTAAATCGGCCCGATTAAGATCTTAGCCAAAATAATATTATGTAAGCCTGGAGATTTTAATAGATGGCAGAAAGGTTTGGACCTCTATTTGCCAAATCTTGAGGCTTACATATTATTTTGGCTAAAATCTTAATCGGACTGTTTTTAGAAAATCGACCCAACCGTTTAAGAGTACTTTAATTCAGTTAAAGGACTTTTTAAAATATTTTTTTTATAAATGGGTAATATCATGTGGAAAATATTTTTATCATAAAATTAATTTCAAAAAAAAAATTTAATGTTCGTGATATTACAAATAAATCGATTATTGTGCTTTAAAATGTTATAAAACGGAGCAAAAAAAATGCTTTTGGCTGCTTTAAAATAGAGCTATCTTTAATTTTTTGGCCATATTTGTGTTTTTACAGGTATGCATTTGGAGAGCAGATTATTGAAAGAATCATTAGAAAAAAAAGTTGCAAAAATTGATAGTCTTGACTCTTGAGTCATTATAAAAATTTAGTTTTGAATTCTAAACTATATAAAATGATCACATAAAAATATTCATTATTTCCCCCCCCCCCCCAATTATCAAACTTTTACTTAGTCATATATGCCAAATTAATTTAGTTTTTAATAGATAACGAATTATTTAAAATTTGAACCCAATATCCTAGGCAATGATAGCAGGTTCAAATTTCGTTTCTGTGCTAGTTATACCTATTTATATTGGTACGGCTGTGCCGATCCACAAAATTTTCACCGATCTGATAATACTATAAAATGGATCCGGTAATTATAGATTTCACCATCTACCTTTGTATCAATGTCATAAATATATCAATATTTTCTACTTTAAAAAAACCTACTAACTTCACGAATAATTAAGTGTATTTTATTTTTCATAAGTTATATTCTCATTTAAGATATTTACAATGTTTATGGGTGATGTAGAGTTGTTAAACAACTCCATTTAGCCGATTTTTCAAAGGGCGAGATCAAAATTTTAACCAATATATTATTAACGATGCCTTGAAATTTCGCAAATAGAAGTCCAAACCTTTCTCATATCTGTGAGAAAAATTAATAAGCGTGGGTAATTTATCGGCGAAAATTTAATCGCTTCTAAAATTGGCTAAATCGAGCCGATTAGCAACATTAACTAAATGTGACTTGTTAGATATTTTAAAATCTTCCTTTTTGCAGATAATATAACAAAAAATACTGTAAAATTTTAAACTATTTTTTTAAAGATTACAACAAATAAATTGTACATTAGTTCTTTTCATTAATTTATTATTATGAAATTAAAATAACCAAAAACAATAAAAAAATATCAGATTGGGTAAAGATCGGCATGATGTGCTATTTTTGAAAGAGCTAATTGATGCCGATACGATAATAAATATCAGCACAGCCCTAATTTAAAGCTTATAATTTTTTTTATTGAAATTATATGAGGCTGAATATGTGATTTGATATGGGGTGACTCTTTTTTTGTTAAATTTGAGAATTTTCAAAGTGACACTGGTTGAAAAAGCTAGCCATAACAACTGAGTTCTACTTTATTTAATATCCATAAGAATTCTTTTAAAAATATTATCTAGTTTAAATAAATTCTTTATAAAAATAATGTTACAAATTAAATCATTCTGTAAATAATTTTTTTTATAACTATATAAATTAGATCTTTAAATTTGTTTTAAATAGTATCAAAAGTTCAATCGCCAATCTTATTAGATTTATGATAATAAATTTGAAAAAAACTATAGAAACTCACATTTAAAATTTCATAATTATTATTAGACGTATAATTATATTTAGCTTTATTTAGAAAATAACAAAATTTAAAGTCATATGTATAGCCAATGAGGGGTAAGGGAAATTATTATACTTGGTAAATTTGCAAGTTTTCATAGATTTTAATTTAAGCTAATAAAAACTATTCTCTTATACCTATCCAAAAAAATTATACAATGTCATTCATTATAAACAAAATTTTTTAGGCTAAATAATAATTGAAATTTCATAAATCAAGCATTTAAAGAAAAACCCAAAATATTTTTTAAAAAACTAGAGGCCTAAAGGCCCAAACAGGGTTATTAAATTTAAAAAATGGAGGCCATGCTTAAAAAGTAAAAAATTTAGAAACTCGTGTCAAAGATTTAAATTATTATATAAATAAATTGGAAAATCATATAAAAAATAATAAATTGAAAATTTTGAGCAAGGCACTAAAATTTAAAATATACATACCAGGTCAAAAATACTATTTCATTAAAACCAAACTGGGAGTTTAAAACATTTTTTCTTCAAATTAAAATAAGACCTAAAATTTTGACCTCTGCATGTCTCTAAAAACATAACTCAACAATAACCATGCAAAAAACGAGCCCAAAGCTTTCATTTATGTATATAAAAAACACAAGATTACCATGGAAAAAATGTTGGACATATGTGCTAAGTTAAATGATACAAGGATTTAATATTTTATAATCATTAATGATTAAAATACTCTTAGATGTCCAGAATATTATCTAACAAATAGATACACAATAGGCCACCCTTGAATAACCCCTAATTCTAAAATACCAAAATAAACATTTAAAGTGTAATAGGCTTTTACAATAGAATGAAAAAAAATAACCTATAAATTAAATATGGGAATTATTTAAATTGCAATATATATAAATTTTTGAAAAAAACTTACAGCATTCCACTACATTTTGTACATATGAATGCCCCAATAGTCATATTAACATAGGTTGGACCTTTTTGATTGCAATCAAAGCATTGTTTGTTTTGGGGTATAGCAGCAATTTCACGCAATTTAATTAAATTTTCATCAGGTTTCTTCTTATTTGTAGCCAACATCTTATCATTTATTTATAAATGTAATGAGTAATAATATATAGATTCAAGGAGAGAAAATTTTAGATATCAGCATATTTTAATTTAACCCAATTCTCAATAATGGTGTTAAAAAATATTAAGCTTTGTACTTTCCACGAGGGTTAAAATATTAATATTTTATAAAAAAATATATATATTTATATTCTTTGGAGTTTTAATAATATTTTGCTAATAAAATTATAAAATAATATTGATATTAAATAATAAATTTAAAAAGAAAACTGATAATTGGATGGATCATAATTCATATCTGTAAATGTCCCTCTCATTACAATACGTTTTTGTTGTGAAGAGACCAGATAAATATATGACTATATCTTAAGTGTACTAAAATTATATTAGACAAATTTTAGTTAAAAGATATTTTTGGGTTAGGACTAGGTTTTAAAAACCAAATAGCTATGTATGATTGTAATTGTGGCCTAATAATTAATTATTCACTAACAAATATAAAATTTATAGAAAAATTAGTTGATTAGCATAACAAATTTTCTCGAATATCTTTAAATATACATCACAATTATAAATTTATAATGATAGAGTAAGTTTAGAATATTTTTACTGTCCATATATTTTTATTATACACTAATTGTCTCATATAAACTCAAGACAATAAATATTTTATTAAATAATTTATATTAAACTTTTCATTGTCTTGTATGTGATAGATTTTTGCTAAATAAATTCAACATAACTGCGATACATTTCAAAACACTCATGTAAAAAAAATAAGTTTCTATTATTTTAACAAAATTTAAAATTCTCCTTATCAAACAAAATAAGGTATAGCACTTTTAGGATGTCTGATTTATTCCATCATTCCATTCCGTCATATGTCTGAAGGCGACAATCTTAAAATTGAGGGTCTATATTTTTTAAAAGATATATCTATAAATTCATAATTAGATGCTGTAAAACTGTTGAAATATTGGCGAGAAGAAAATTTAAGAAGGAGTGAAGAAACTATTAGTTTATATGAAAATAAGATTAAAAACATTATTCATAAATTGGGAAATGAAAGTAATAATTAAAATTTTTTTATTGGATGATTTTTTTAAATAGCATGGCTAATTTATGAGCAAGTATTAATATCTGCTCTGGACTGTGGACGTTTTGATATAGCCAAAGTTTTTAACGATATAAGCTTGCTTTAATAAAAAACTTTTTAGGAATCTTTTCAAATATTGGAAAAAAAATTTCCCAAAAGCCATCGTGTGGCAAAACTTTATGGTTATATCTTAGAGTCACATCAAAAGTAATAAAGATATTTGTTTACTTTTTTCTTAATTCAATTAGAATAGGTATCCAGAAGCAGAACAGTTATATGATACACTTTTATCAAAAGATCAAACCAACTCTGTAAATATTTACCAAAACTACCCATTATTTTTTCATATATATTTTTAAATTAGAAAGATTGTTAATATACTACTGATATTAATTAAAGATTATAAATAATGGCCTGATAATCTTTTTAGTCATTACTATTCATTTGCCTCACAAATTGGTGTGGGTGAATTTTTTAAAAAAATCATGCTTATAAATAAAAGTTAATGAAAATAAAATATATATGATCATTATTTAAGTTTTTATTAAGAGGAGTGTCATTTGTCATAAACCAATGAAAAAATGTCCATAGAAGCAAGGGAAACATGGCTTCCCTTCAAATTTTACTTAAATAAAATTAATATAATCTTTATAATATGTTAAAACAATTAATACTAATTTGATTTCATTAAAAAAATGAATAATATATTTGTAACATAAAATATTTACAATTATTTTTACTACATTAAAAAAATATAAATGAGGGAAGCAAATTATATATTGCTTATTTTTTAAAATAAATTAAAGTAAAAAATTATGAGCATATTATATATTTTTGGTGTAATTTTTTTTCATTATGTTTAAAAAATAAGTGTTGGGGAAGCAAATAAAATAAATGCTTATTTTTTAAAATAAAAAATTACTTTTTTTAAAAAAACAATAATTAATAAATAAATAAAAATATTGGACGTGAATTTTCTAATAATCTATATTGTTAGTCATGTCTAATTCCCAAAGGAAAAATATGGAATGATAAAGTATTTTCCAGATATGAATATTTTTTGAAGGCATGTTAATAGCTGGAAGAATCAACCTCTCATTCGCAGTTGTTGATTCAATCTTAATTATTTGGTAAAAATCAAATTGAAAATACGATTGTTTCGATGTGCAAAATAGTTTATAAATAAATGCTGGCCTTGCCCCTCCCCCAAAATCCCTGTCAAAAGTTTTTAAATAGGAGGTGGGGCTGAAGGGTGAGAATTATCTAAAAATATATTACTACCTGCATTTTAGGTTAAAAATGAACTTAACTAACTGTATCCTGATATATAGGATTTTTATTGTTTTAAACCATAATTGTAAATTAGTTTTATATAATTTACTAAATATTTTATATTCATATCATATTGTCTAATAAATAGAAAAAATTTAAAATAACATCATAAAATTTATCAATGATTGCATATATAAATTTTATCCCTAAAATTATAATCAAGATAATTAGATAATATAATAAATAGTTATGGTTTGAAATATATACTAATTTAATTTCATATTTCTACTGAAGACCTGCCAAAGCCTTTTTTCAAAACTTTTTATTTGTCACTAAAAAAATGATTTAGCGGAATTCTGTCAGAAATATTTTAAATATTTTTATTTTCGTAAAAGCTGATCCACAAAAGAAAAATCGCTTTATTAAAAGCTCAACATAGAATTTTGGAAGCAATACAAGCGTTGAATGAATATCTTAAAACGTATAAATTTTTTTCTATTTTAAGTTTTGATATTTTCATGTACATTATTTTAAAAAGATTTATGAGCGATATAGAAGCTTGGCATGAGTTATGTGATTTATACTTATCTATATTGGAATATGAAAAAGCCGCATTTTGCATGGAAGAACTTATACTATCTAATTCAAGAAATTACTTGTATCATTTAAAATTTGCCGAGGTATGTATGTTATGTTGCAATTCTTATAACAAGATTAAGAAAAAACTGTTTATTAACTTTAAAGTACGAATCCCTCTAGTTTTTTGAGAGATATTCATTATTTCAGGTCTTGTTAACTCCCGAACTTTTTCTGCTGAGCAATCTTTATTTAATATTTAATAACTAAACGGAAAAAAATATATTTATTACAGGCGATTCCTATTAGATAGATATCATTTATCACAATGATTTATAATATTTATTTAATTATTCGTCATTATTTTTGTAAAGATCAAATATAGTCAAGGAGGTATTGATAACTTGGAAATATCGCGTTGCCATTTTTGCTTTTCATACAAATTGAATAGAAACAACGTCCGGGCGCTTTACGGAATCATATTAGTAAAATAAATTTTTTATGTTATTCTCACTCTAATTCTGATCGCAATTTTATTGTAACTTGCACTAAAAATTTAATTTTTTTAAAAATGAATAAAAATTTAAATAAATATTTCTTAATGACGTTTTCCTACTTCTATTTATTCCAGAAAATTTTATAATTATCAATTTTTTTCAATTCTAACTTTTCACGTTTTAAATTTTTTTGTCCTGTCATTTATACTCATACCGTATAATTAATTCTTAATTTTTTTGAGGTGTCAAGTTCGTTGATGAGTTGTATTAAAGGCAATACCAAAAAAATGAAAGAAAATCAGGTATGCTTCGAATGGGCTACTAATCACCTTAATCAACTATATAGTCAGGTTTTTTTACATTATCATTGCATATTATTTGTTTTTATTGATTTAAAAAAAAATATTGTTATCTTTATAATATTATATAAAATGGCTTATGATGTTTCACTTAACATTATTGAAAAATATTGGAATATATATTCGTTAGACCAATTGAATAATATATTTATTTATAGTATGATATTTTATAAATACTAGATAATAATTTTAGCCTAATGATTTTCTCTTACTTGATATTGGTATAATATTAAGTAATCTTAAAATGTAATATTTTTTAAGTAAAATCAAAGTATATATTTTATGTATTTACAATTACATTTTCAATAAATGCCATCAATCTAACCTATGCCTTCCAGATAAACATCTAGATTCTATGTTCAAGTTCTGAGATGCCATTAAATCTTCAATCTCGTAGCCCTTCTTCATTTTTGCAGAAAGATTAGGATTATCCTTTGGTTGAATGTTCCATCGAATTTCTATTATCCAAACCTACAAAATGATTAACTAGCTTTAAATTTTCCAACTTTTACAGTGGCTATGAATGAATTGTTATTCCCAGCCAAATTCTCAGTCTTCATTTATCTTCCTGCCAATTAAGAATATCAGTTGGTCTTCGTGCTGGTTATAATATCATTTCTCCTTTCACCTGCTCTCTTTACAGCACCAGAGTTGAAGAAAATGGATGTCATCCATTACAGTGCCGATTCTCTAAATGCCGTCACATTGCACAGTTAACAATAGAGATCTGCAAAGTTAGGCCCGGCACTTTGTGCCGGGCTTGGGCCTAATTCTATTTAAAATAATCTGATTCGGGCCGGGCCTAATATTTTTAAAAAAATTTAGGCCGAGTCGGACCTTGGAAATTTTTTTAAATATACTAAAATTATCAATATATATTGAATTTTTTATGTTAAATAAAAATATTTGATTTTATTTATTGAAACTAAACGACATATAACATATGTCTTTTATTTTGAGTAATTATAAAAATTAATTTCTATATTTAAATAAATTCGGGCCAGGTTGGTAAATTTTTTTAAAAAAAATTTTGGTTCGGGATGGGCCGGCAAAACTCTTTTAATAATTTCGGGTTCGAGCTGGGCCGGCAAAACTTTTTTAAAAAAATTTCGGGCCGGGCTTGAAAAATTAGGCCCAATGCAGATCACTATTTAACAATATAATATTCAAAGCTCAAAGATGATCCAACATACCAAGTGCCCTCTAGCCATTAGGTCTCAATACTTCACATGGTTAGAGGACAGATGGTTTAACCTTAATTTCATAGGAAAGAGAGGGGCATCCCTCTCGCCTGGGATTACACTTATATAGACATTCGCTAACCCACGAATACTCTTTCGATTGGCGAAATAAAAAAAAAAATATATATTCAAGAGTTAATCAATTTTAAATTCGTTTGTTGTCACATTAATCTGAAACTTCGACCACTAGACACTTTCTTTCCTGAAGGAGATAGAAAGAAAAATTACCTATCTCATGGGCAAACCCAGAGAATATTTCTATAATCGCCTGAATATTGGTTTAGAAATTTTCCGTTCAAATTTCATACCAATCCACTGCTCCATATATCCTATTATCCATCATAATATTATTTTTATTATTCTTTTATTCTTATGTTATTGCCAGAGACAAAATTTTGTTGGAATTAATTAAAATAAAATTAATTTTTTTTTAATTGTTAAAAATTGTTTATTTGGTTTGGAAAAATTATTAAAGTAATTTCTATTAAAATGGAAACTTTTTATATCAAATCCTGGTCTAGTATGATCCAAGTTAACACAAATAAGCATGCAAAACCTGCTGGCCAACAATGATGACTGGATTCAACAGTAAGATAGGGAAATAGCGAATGAATCGAAAAAAACACCTTCGCCATTTAAATTACTCTGGTTCATCGATAATCATCTCATCCTTCTTCTCGTCCATGGCAATAACATCCCTGGGTATAATGCCCTAACTGCCATTTTGAACAGGACGCATCGCTTCTTGTCTCCTCGGAACTATTCTCGAATTTGTCACATGCTGTTCCTGTTGTGGCACCACATTGCCTCCTTCTCTTGTCATCATCATTATTGTTCCTCTTGATACTGGGCGAGCAACTGATAATTCTCCGGTACTCCATTCTGTTGCCATCTGTTATGCTCAGTTGTCATCCACGTTGGTGATTGAATTATTCCGCTCGGACGTCACCCAGTCCTCCGCATGTTAAGCAGGATAAATCCCTCTGTGTGACGGACCTCTGGATGATGGCTTGACTGGGATATCGACTCGATTCATTTGGTATTTCCTCATCTTGCTGTTGATCCATCAATCATGTCACTTGTCGGCCAGCTGGTTTTGCATTTATTGTGTTAACTTGGATCATATTAGACCCTGATTTGATATAAAAAGTTTTCATTTTAATACAATTTACTTTAATAATTACACAAATTTTCAAACCAAATAAACAAATTTCCACAAAAAATAATTTTTAACTTTATTTTTTTTTTACCTATCATTTTATTCACATACAATATCAACACATTCTATTCTATTCACTTTCACATATAATTTAATCAACACATTCCAGTTGCTCTCTCATAAAACAATTTCCTTTAATATTCCTTAATTTTCCAAAGTTTTTGATCCCTTCTCCTACTATATTTTTTTTTGTTTTACCAATTCCCCTAATTAATTACTTTTAAACATAAAATTTATTTCTTACCTATTTGCTATAATTAATAATTAATTACTTTCAATTTTCCTTTAAACCCAAAATTTTATCTTCTAACATCCCCCCCCCCTTCTTTTTTTAAAACTTTCACATTGTCGTTTTTATTTATAAATCCTTACTATTTCTTGTTTTATCAATTTCCATGATAATTTTTTTTACTCAGTATATTTCTTAACCCCCTTTTTTTTTTATTTTACAACTCTTTTCATCTCTAATTTTTATCTTTATAGACGAATTCTACCACAATTTATCTCAACCCATTGTGTTACTTTTTTTAAACATATTTTATTAGTGTAATAACTTTCTTCATTCTACAATGTAATACACATTTTTATTTCAATTTATATATATATTTCTATCCTTTAACTTTCACAAATCAAATTATAACAAAAAAAGCACTTAAGATGATCTAAAACATAACCCAGAAATACTTTTATTTCTTAATCCGACCTTTCAGCTTTCATTTTCCTTTATTTATTTTTCTTAAATTAATTTATTTCATTACTCAGGTCATTATTATTTACATTTCTCATATATATATATTTTCATTTTTTTCCGTTACATTTTTATGCCCTCCTTTCCCTCAATTTATCTCTATGCCTTACAGCTTCACTGTTGTGCTCAAACCTAATTTTAAGTACCTTATTTCCTATAACAACTCCCTTCACCCATTTTTTTTCATTTTCATAAACCCGAACCCACACTAATTGATTAATTACATATTCCAACTCAGATTTACTTTCATTTTTCAAACATGTTGCAACTGGTTTCAATAGTTATTATAAATTTAAATGTATTATTAAAAAAATACAAAAAAAATAAAACGCAATCAAGTTATTTACGAAATTAAAAGGCATATTAGTTTTTCCTTGCAAGGTTTTAGAGATAACTATAAAATATTTACATATCTTTTATTAATATTGGGGGGCTAATTACCAGTTTTACTTATATAATAATAAATAAATCATATTATATGTGTATGACTAAATAATATATTATACAGGGGCGTCGCTAGCCTTTACAGTCTCAGGGAGCTCAACGAAATAAAGGAGGCAGGTTATTTTACTGTCATGGCTGATGACACTCGTGATGTTAGCTCATATGAACAATTTATATATGTGTTAGATATGTTAATAAAACAAAAACATCAAAGGAATCTATCTTTTGAAAAAGTTGAAATGCAGAATCATTAACGAAGACACTAATATTAACCTTAAACAACAATTCCATAAATGCAATTTGCGTTGCTCAAACATATGATGGTGCCAGTGTTATGAAAGGGCATCTTTCAGGAGTCCAGGAAAGATATCGCAAAAATCACAAAATGGCTATATATGTACACTGCTATGCACATAAACTCAAATACCTACCTCAGTCTAGAAAGTTTTTTAATATATTAGAATCTATTCATGCTTTTTTCTCAATATCTATCCAATAACAAATTTCTTGATTTAAATTAAGATTAGTGCTAAAATCCAAAAATATTGATGCCGTGAGTCCTACACGTTGGGGATCCCATATTAGAACGATAGAGGCAGTAAAAAAACACTCTCTTTGCAATTATTTCTTATCTAGAAAATATAGAACATGGTGATATAGTGAAAGCAAATGGAATTTTATATATTCTTTTACAATATGATACAATTATGTGTATGTTTATATTCCAAAAATTATTATCTATGTGTTCCAATATTTCTATTTTTTTGCAAAAATCAGATTCTGACATATCAACAGCATTGGCTTTTATCGAGTCTCTTATCATTTCTTTGTCAAATTTAAGAAATAATTCTTATTTTTCTTCATTATTTACCGAAGTAAATAAATTCTGCAATTTATATAATATAAAAATAAAAAATAAAAGAACAAATATACCTTCTACCATTTTAAATGATTCTATTCAAATAGGTGATATTGTTTCTCTTAATTATTCTGATCAAACAGAAACTTTTTATAAGTGTCATGTCTTTTCCAATTTTGGATATTATGATAAATGGATTTAAAAAGAGATTTTGTCAAGAAAACACAGATATATTAATAGCTATAAGTGCTTTACATCCCTTTTCCCCCCAATTTTTAAATAATGATATCAAACCATTTATCTTACATTATAATCTTCCTGATCCAATGGAAGAATACGCAATATTAAAGATTTCTATTTTAACCTATAATAAAACACATGAATCTATGTGCAAATCAATAATAAATTTGATAAAAATCTTGCCCATCGATATATTCCCTCTTATATATAATTGCCTTAAAATTGCGCTAACCATACCTT